ATTTAATTACACTTCTATAAATTAAGTTTAACAATGACTTCGTCAATTAAACAAACAACTATTTCACTAACAAATGTTAGCATTGTATGAGGTGTAAAAATCTGTGCCATGAATTATTTTAAGTTTTGTTGAAATCAAGGTAAAAAAGTGAGTCATCTAAAAAAAATGTCATACTTAGGGGGTGTTTGTTTTTTATTTGAGTTCATTTTCAACCACACATTTTTTAATAAAATAATATTTTTCATCACATCAATAATTTTTTTTTTTTCAACCACACATTTATCATCATATCACTATTAAAAAAACAATTCTTCCCCCAAATATCTATACCANATACATTCTTCAATAAAATAATATTTTCCATCACATCAATACTTTTTTCTTCTTTTTCAACCACACATTTCCCATCATATCACTATTCAAAAATCAATTCTTCCCCCAAATATCTATACCAAACAAGCACTTAATAGCAAAGCTACAACTGCTTGAACAAAGGCATAACTGTAGTCTGACACGAACCCCACACCCCCCCAAGAAAGGTTGGTAAGACACAAGGACACAAAATCTATCCATGAATTCTTCAAAACGTAACATATACAGTAAGACATAAAATCCAATTCTACAGATTCTAACTGAATTATTTTGAGAAAAATTGTTAAATTATTTTTGTTGAGAATGGAAGAACAAGATCATTTTACTTCATCATTGGAATATTTCGTTGCTACTACATCATCTGCAACAACATCAACTTCACAGGTGCAAATAGACGGAGAGGATAATATTGAACAGTTTCCTCCGGTGCACGATGACAGTGAAGGGTCGCAGGGTATATTCGATAGTTGGGCATGTATCATCACTGTGCTTGCCTTCTTGTTTGTCAGTATGTACATTTTTGGTTGAAAAAAGCCATACTTACAGGGGAGTTTCATAGGCTAGGTGGCATTCTTGGATTGGATAATGGAAAAAAAAAAAATTAAAACAGACCAATGCAGTATTGACACTTAGCATCCGGCAAAAAAACCTGTGAAACTCCCATGTACTTGTGACATTGTTCTTTTTGGTTTAACCATACTTGATGAACCAGAGACGTCTAATCCACATTAACATAAACATGATAACAAATTTCTCAGCTTCAAGAATTTTTCATACTTCCTAGTTTTTCTTCTGTTTTCTGAAATTCTGGCTTGTAGTTGTTATTTATTTTTATTTTTTTCCAATTTTAGAGGTTTAATTAGTTAATACAGAGAATTTGTCATCCAAGTGGACAGTATTTGCACGTCCATTGTAATTTGTGGTTAAGAATGAAGTTTGACAATTTATAAATTTTGCCAAAGGGATATTAGTAAGTGGAATCATGACACATTTGGTTATATATGGGATTGTCTTTGCATCTGATTTCAGTATCTATGACTCTGATTTTTGGGGTATATGGATTTGTGAACGTAAAGCTTGGGCCAAGTTCATCAATATTGATAAAACCCAACCAATTATTCGTGGACTTGATTAAGGTAACTCAATGCTGCTCCTACTTGTAGTTTGTATACTGTGTACATTTTCCTTTTGGAGTTAATGTAAACATATAACAGATGGAGGAATTGGATGGCAGGAAAGGACCAATGTTATATGGATTTTACAAAGATCCACACCTTGATGTTTCGACTACGTC